TAATGTGTCCTACAACTATGATAAATCTACCCGGATACATACAGTATATAATGTGTCCTACATGTATGATACATCTACCAGGATACAAACAGTATATAATGTGTCCTACATCTATGAAACATCTACCAGGATACATACAGTATATAATGTGTCCTACACCTATGATACATCTGCCAGGATACCTACAGTATATTTTAATGTTTCTTACAACTATGGTGCATCTACCAGGATACGTACAGTATATAATGTGTCCTTCACCTATGATACATCTACCAGGGTACATACAGTATATAATGTGTCCTACACCTATGATACATCTACCAGGGTATCTACGGTATATTATGTGTCCTAGATCTATGATAAATCTACAAGGATACCTACAGTATATAATGTGTCCTACACCTATGATAAATCTACCAGGATACCTATGGTATATAATGTGTCCTACATCTATGATACATTTACCAGGATACATACAGTTTATAATGTGTTCTACACCTATGATAAATCTACCAGGATACCTATGGTATATAATGTGTCCTACAACTATGAAACGCATCTACCAGGGTACATACAGTATATAATGTATCCTACACATATGAAACATTTACCAAGGTGCCTACAATATATAATGTGTCCTACACCTATAAAACATTTACCAAGGTGCCTACAATATATAATGTGTCCTACAACTATGATACAACTACCAGGGTACCTACAGTATATAATGTGTCCTACACCTACGATACATCTACCAGGGTATCTACGGTATATAATGTGTCTTACAACTATGATACATTTACCAGGGTACCTACAGTATATAATGTGTCCTACACCTACGATACATCTACCAGGGTATCTACGGTATATAATGTGTCTTACAACTATGATACATTTACCAGGGTATCTACAGTATTTAATGTGTCCTACAACTATGATAAATCTACCAGGGCAACTTCGGTATATAATGTGTCCTGCACCTATGATACATCTACCAGGGTATCTACAGTATATTATAATGTGTTCTACAACTAAGATAAATCTACCAGGGTATATACGGTATATAATGTGTCCTACAACTATGATAAATCTACAAGGGCATCTACGGTATATAATATGTCTTACACCTATGATACATCTTCCAGGGTATCTACGGTATATTATGTGTCCTACAACTATTAGAACAGACTCTACAGGCAAAAGGACTCAGGCGAACATGTATCAGGGCGAACGAACCCGATACCAATTAATGTTAACGTCAAGTAGACACAGCCTGTCGAAAAGTTTTATTGTAATTTCTATGATAGAAAAAGAGGATAAAATTGCTGTTAGTTTAATGATAAAAATTAATCTATGTGTTTTGCCAACTGTTTAACAACAAAATTTAAAACTGGTTTCATAAAACCATGAGTAAGTCTGCTTCCCTCTTGTAGGTCTCCAATATTTTCTAATACGTCAACAGCTTTAAGTAAAATTCATTCCATTCAGTGGTTCTCTTAAAGAAGACATTTGTATGTATTTCCCGTGGGGTCCTATGTTAAACTAAGTCCCCCACTGGCGACCATCTTGGATGATGGATCGGCTACAAAGTAAGAACACTTGGTCAGTACTTCATAAGGAACATTCATGCTATGTTTGGTTTCATTCCATTCAGTGTTTTTTTTAAAAGAAGACATTTGAATGTATTTGCCATAGGGTCCTATGTTAATCTAAGTCCCCCGCTGGCGGCCATCTTGGATGATGGATCGGCTACAAAGTAACAACACTTAGTCAGCACTACATAAGGAACATTCATGCTATGTTTAGATTCATTTCATTCAGTGGTTCTCTAAAAGAAGACATTTGCATGTATTTGCCATAGGGTCCTATGTTAAAATAAGTGCCCCGCTGGCGGCCATCTTGGATGATGGATCGGCTACAAAGTAACAACACTTGATCAGCATCTCATAAGTAACATTCATGCTGTTTGGTTTCATTCCATTCAGTGGTTCTCTATAAGAAGACATTTGTATGTATTTCTCATAGGGTCCTATGTTAAAATAAGTCCCCCGCTGGCGGCCATCTTGGATGATGGATCAGCTCCAAAGTAACAACACTTGGTCAGCACCTCATATGGAACATTCATGCTATGTTTTGTTTCATTCCATTCAGTGGTTCTCTAAAAGAAGACATTTGTATGTATATCTCATAGGGTCCTATGTTAAACTAATTCCCCCGCTGGCGACCATCTGGGATGATGGATCGGCTACAAAGTAACAAAACTTGGTCAGCACCTCATATGGATCATTCATGCCATGTTTGGTTCCATTCCATTCAGTGGTTCTCTAGAAGAAGTTTAAAATGTAAAAAGTTAACGGCGACGACGACGGACGACAGACGCCAAGTGATGAGAATAGCTCACTTTGCCCTTTGTGCCAGGTGGGCTAAAAATACAACTTTTTTTTCAAGTAGTCACTGAACCACGAACATTAAGTCAAGGACAATGGGCATGTGACAGACGGAAACTTCGTAACATAAGGCTTCTGTATAGAAAGTATGAAGCATCCGGCTCTTCCACGTTCTAAAATATAAAGCTTTTAAGAAGTTAGCTAATGCCGCCTCCGTCGTAGCCGCCTCGACAAAAATGAGAAATTTAATTCTCAAAGTATGGTCTGATACCCCAAATCAACAACAAGATTAGATTCAGTATACAAACAAAATGCATAAACATTTGATCTTCGATGTAATCAAACAAAGTTTAATTTTAGACCCTTCAAACCTTAATATGTACTAATTTCAAAACAGGATCCAAAATCCAAAATCTAAATACACAATGAGATTCAGCATATCATATAGCCGAAATTATTCAGTTTTTGATAAAATCAAACAAAGTTTTTTTTTAGAAACTTATAGATTAATTTCTTTTCAGGAAAAAAGTACAATTTCAGAGAGTTTCATAAACTTTAACACAAATTATCGCCTGGAAACCAAAAACTCCTTTAGGACTGAACTCCTTGTTTCTGCAATGAGATTTATTTGTTTATCTTGTCTTATATTTTTTATCTGTTTTGGAAATAATCGTCCTTTAAAATAAATAACTGCTCTTAGAAGTTTTCTGACAGTTTTTTTGTGAATGGACAGTTGGTACATCTCAAGATTTTGAACTCATGTCTCATTTCAGATTGTGGTCACTTTATTTGTAAATTCATTTCTAATTCATTTAGTGTTGTAGCAAATACATATTGTACATAATTCAATAAAATAAATAAACAAAAGATTCCATGAACAATAATGCCTAACAGCAGACAAAATACCATGTTTTAAAAGTTATTTATGATGTAACAAAATAATAGATTAACACTGAATCAATCTACAAGCATCCAACCCTCGTGAATACTAAGGTGTGCAACCATAAAAACTTTCAAAATGCTATGTATACTCGATGTACACTGTAGTACACCACACTGTAAAAATATTATTGAGAAAGCGCAGGTGGGATTTTTTTAATTTCCATTTAATGTCTTAAAGAAATGAAATTCGAAATAACTGTGTTCTCCGGCCTATTAGTTGAAATGACCCGAGGTAACCAGCGTCAATATATGTGTTTGGTGACAAAAAGTAACCAAAGTGAATGTTTGTGTTATGTGAGCATTATTGTAAGGTGACCAGAGGTCAACATAGTGAATATATGTACAAGGTGATTAGAGGTAACCAAATTAAATGAGTGTGTAATGTGACCAGAGCATCATTGTAACTGGACCAGAGGTTAACATAGTCAATATGTGTCCAAGGTGACAAGAGGTTACCTAAGTCAATATATGAACAGCGGTTTAGGGTGACCAGAAGTAACCAACGTCAATATATGTGTTTGGTGACCAGAAGTAACCAAAGTGAATGATTGTGTTATGTAAATTTATTGTAAGGTGACCAGAGGTCAACATAATGACATTATGTACAAGGTGACCAGAGGTAACCTAAGTCAATATATGAACAGCGATGTAGGGTGACCAGAGGTAACCAACGTCAATATATGTGTTTGGTGACCAGAAGTAACCAAAGTGAATGATTGTGTAATGTGAGTATTATGTTAAGGTGACCAGTGGTCAACATAGTGAATATATGTACAAGGTGACCAGAGGTTACCAAATTAAATGAGTGTGTAATGTGACCAGAGCATCATTGTAACTAGACCAGAGGTAAACATGGTCAATATGTGTCCAAGGTGAGCAGAGGTAACCTAGGTCAACATATGAAGAGCGGTGTAAGGTGACCAGAGGTAACCATAGTCAATATTAGTCTGGGAACACAGTTATCGTCCCTTGATTTTCGTTGTCTACGAATATAGTCCCTAGTGTGAACAGTGTGCTACTTGCTATTTTTTTATACCCTTTCCAAATTCATTTCTTCATGTTTATGCCCCAAAAGGCAAGTAGGGGGGTGAAACTACACTGTAAAAAAATTTGGGTCATGGATTTTAAAGTAAAGATATCACTTCTTTCGTTATAGCAACGTTGACACTTTTGTGAATTTAGGACGAACAGACTCTACAGGCGAAAGGACTCAGGCGAACATGTATCAGGGCGAACGAACCTGATACCAATTAATGTTAACGTCAAGTAGACACAGCCTGTCGAAAAGTTTTATTGTAATTTTTATAAAATTGCTGTTTGTTTAATGGTAACCAGATGCAAGGCAAAGCTTTATACGACCGCAGAGGTCGAACCCCGAACAGTTTGGGCAAGTATGGACACAACATTCAAGCTTGATACAGTTCTGAATTTGGATTGTAATTAAATAGTTGACACAGCATAGGTTTCTGACACAGAATGAATGTGGTCTAATGAACTTAAACATTTGTTTTTGCGTTTGAGCAAATCACTATGCTGTTGAATATTGATCCCCTCAAAGAAAAAAATTGAAGAAATTTTCTTTTTAATTTCTGAAATCTGAAATGAGAAAAATTGTCCCCCCCCCCAATTCTTATTTACCCACCCCCACCCCCAATTTTTTCACCTCCCCCTTTCCCTTGTTCCAAAAATAATCTCCATTCAAATTTCTAATGGAGTTTGCAACAATAACTACTCATTTAAATATATCATAACATATTGAAATATGAAATGACATACAGTCATGGTTAAAATTAATATTAATTAATAGTAACTTCTAAAAAAAGATTACAGCTAATCATCTCAAGACAATATCATTCCTTAATACATAATTTGCAAGCAGTGTAATCAAACATATATATAACAGTATTCTTTAAATGGAATTGGATTACCTCCCTTACACTGCTTTTAAATTGTCTAAATTGTCCTTTAACCAGAAAAACCCTTGTTTTTCCTTCTTTTTGCTCCTAATTGCTAAATGATTTGAAGCATAACCCCCCATAACCATTCCTTGGTAGTATGGAAACTTGTCGTACAATTTCAGAGAGATTTATACACTTAAACACAAGTTATTGACTGGAAACTACAAAAATGCTTATTTGGGCCCCTTTTTGGCCCCAACTTTTTGAAACCCCCCTTGGAGCAAGAACCCCAAAATTCAATTCCAGCCTTTCCTTTGTAGAAAGAAACCTTGTAGTATAATTTTAGAGAGATCCATACACTTAAACACAAGTTATTGTCTGTAAACTAGAAAAATGCTTCTTTTTGGCCCTTTTTTGGCCCCTCATTCCTACATGTTCGGGGAAATTAACCCCAAACTCAATCCCAGGCTTTCCTTTGTTATATTGAACCTTGTAGTAAAATGTCAGAGAGGTCCATACAGTTACACACAAGTTATTGTGCGGAAACTAGAAAAATGCATGTTTTTGGGCCCTTTTTGGCCCTTAATTCCTAGACTATTTGCTCCATAACCCTTAAATTAAATCCCAACCTTCTACTTATGGTATTAAACATTGTGGTACAATTTCAGAGCAATTGAATTACTTATACACAAGTTATTGTCCTAAAATTAGATAAATGCTTGTTTTGGGCCCCTTTGGGCCCCTTATTCCTAAACCTTTGGGACCATAACCCCAAAATCAATCCCAACCTTCCTTTTGTGGTTATAAACATTGTGTTAAAATTATATTGATTTCTATTTACTTATATAAAAGTTATTATCCGGAAACCATCTGTCTTCGCACGGCGCTGACGACGACGACGACGACGTGATACCAATATACGACCCAAAAAAATTACTTTTGCGGTCGTATAAAAATTAATCTATGTGTTTTGCCAACTCTTTAACAACAAAAGTTAAAGCTGGTTTCATAAAACCATGAGTAAGTCTGCTTCCCTCTTCTAGGTCTCCAATATTTTCTAATACGTCAACAGCTTTAAGTAGAACATCTCTGAAAAAAAGAATAACTGATGTGTTAGTCTTTGTTAACAGAGATATAAAAAGACTTATGTCTAGGGGATGGTGACGTATTGATAAAATGAAACAATCTGTTCATTAAGAACAAGTTTTTGACTAAACTACCAATGTGCCACTCGACTTTAGAGCAAATTACTGTGTCTGAAGTCGATTGGCACACTAATAGTATACATGCATATTTGAGTACAATATTGCATATTGGAATGCAAATGCAACAAGTAATCAACAACAAATGGAAAACTAACGATTAAGTATGGAAGGGGAATTATATGTCAATCTTGAAGGATTTCTTGTTGCCTTAAATTTCTTTTTTCACATAATTATGTTGTTTTTATTTAATTTAAATTTCTGTTATCTAATAATCGTCGAGAATATATTTTGGTTGTGGTGAAGTTAAACATTATCATTTTGATGGCAAAAGTTTACCCTGGCCCATAGCCATCTGAGCTAAAGCCGGCTATTCTTAATATATTTTCACTTCATCATGTTTCTACACAACCATATCCTGAATTAATCTGAAATTTGTCGGATTAAATATGAATGTTCATCCTATCTTTTGCACAGTTATTTTATTCAAGTAATTGCCAAACAAGTATATCATAAAATATTCCAAAATAACCTTGGCCTCTGAAAAGCAAATGGCTATTCCTTCATCATACTCGAAAATACATAATCTTTATTTTCTTGGCAGCTTTTAACTGTTTTCATAGCATACTTTATGCAGCTTACATCTTTTTTATCTAGGATTATTACCAAAGAGGAGGGGCTTGTAAAATTTAATTGCTTACCGAACTTCATTAGCTTCTTTTCTTGATGAGCAAATTTTACTAAGCCTTGAAAAGATTTCGCTCTTTTCAACAATGTTGCTGAAATCATCAGCCAAGTCTTTTGCCTCTCCTTCTGTAAGGCCTGAAAATAAGCTTATAGAAGTCTTGATGTTCTTTCTTATAACAATTCCTGGTGGAATATTTGCCACTGATCTGCTCCTCTGGAAATAAAAAAATAGTACGTTTTCAAACACATTTTCATCCTTTTTAACATTTCTTACCAAAATAATTTCTTAGGGAAGATAATGAAATAAAGGATTGAACAATTGCTGATATACTCACAACAAAGCCAGGAATGACAAGTACCGTAGAGCTAATTGGGTAATAGTGAATTGATTAATAAATATAATCAATGAAGAAGAAAAAATATATCGAAACACTGTACATTTGGTGAAATTACAATATTTAGTTTCCACCTTTAAATTACCATTTGTTTTAACATGTTTCAATGATCCTATAAAGCAAAAAGAATTAATTTAAATGCTAGGCATTATCAAACTGGAAAGGAATTAATAATTTTATCAAATCTCATTATTCAAATATTGACTTTAAATGAGGAAATGCAACAACTTGAAGCGTCAAGGACGTTTTTCCTAGTAGGATTTAATCAAATGTCGTTACCTTTAACAACTGACAGACCATAGTCGATGAAAGGTTTTCAGGAGATCCAACTCGCCTTTTTACTTCCTCCCTACTAACGTCATAGAACTTCTTTTTTCCTGTTAGGCTTAGTCTACCAGGAACCATAACTGGCCAATCATTGCAGGAAGCTACAATTTGAAAACAATTGTTTACATTATATGCATTGCATCATTTTTATATCAAAATATATAATATACTTGGTTATATGAATTAAAATTTATACTTTAATGTATCTGTATACTTGACTGTGTAGCTCTACAATTCTTTCTGGTGAGCTAAGCTGACGACCATTTCAAACATTCAAATCAATCCAAAGCTTTATTTAAGGTTGGCATGTTACAAAACAATAACAAAATGTCTTTGAGCTTTCTTTAAGCCGACATTATTTTTTCAGAAGGTGGTGTCAGGAATTCATGTGGATAGACAATTCATCATTGCATCATTCTTTATCTGTTCCGAGTACGGTTTATTCATTTTCAATTGTTAAAAACTAATTCTAACATTTTGTTGGTCAGAATATTTATTTCCATCTTGTCTTGGCAAGTAATTTAGAGTTGTAACCGTCCCAAACTATTCATTTCAAAATTCATCCTGCCCACTCCTATTATCAAATGGTTATGCTCTTATCACTGTCCTAGATATTGAAAACTAGCACTGCTTGGAGTGAAACATCAACACGAAAGGATTAGCGTGTATTTTCACGGTAGAGTTTTCCAAAGGAGGCATTTCAGTTGCAACCCATAGTTAAATTATTCTATTTAAAATAGGGATGTATAACAAAATGTTAATTGTATATTTGGAAATACCACAGCTTGAATGAGAAAATTCGGGGTTTTACCATCTCTTTCTGCTGGCGAAAGCTTTTGCTGGGCTTCTTTTGCAAGCTGCAACATTTCTTCCTCCCAGGAATCATAACATAACTTCGAATCTGCAATTATAAAAGAAAGTGTTTGCTTCATTCAGCTTGTCAATTTCTTTATTTATAATTCTCAATCCTACACACATTACATGCACAAGGTCTGTGCATTAGAAAAGGCTAAAGTGACGAATGAAAATAGCTTAAACTTACAAACGTTGATTTAGAAATAGAACGTACATCGTTATCAAATCAACAATTATCTCTGGTGCTCCTGAAATGTTATGATGTGTCACCAAGATGACTAGTGCAAAAAGAATAACAATGAATGCAATGACTATAACAAACTTTGGCACAGAAAAATACAGTTATATTTTTCCTGAAAGCACATGACGTAATGCAAAAACAATTATAGGCTTTGTCCTGCCTCCCAAATTAATATATAAATATAAAATTCAATATCTGTGTTAGGTTTCCAGTGATTACAAAAGTAAATATTTGTCTTAGGTCAAGAGCAATTACAAAGTTCAACATCTATTTATGATGATAATTGGTAATGGAAAAGAAGAACCAGAGTTTACAGAAGTCAATATTTGAATATTACAATTTGCTTGACTTGACACAATTTCTGTGTATGATGACAGAGTACACTAGTGGAATTGAATATCTATATGAGATAACCACACAAAACCAAATGCAATGTCATTGTAAGGTGACCAGATGTAAACAAGAGTCAACAATTGCATGGCGTAGGTATTTGACCACAGAAAACCACAATAAACCACAATAATATCTGATGAAATAGAACAGAGGTTACAAATTGCAATGCCAGTGTAAGGTGACCTGAAGACACCAAAGTAAATATTTGTTTTAGGTCAAAAACAAAATTCAATATCTGTGTATGATTACAAATGGTAACGGAGAAGAGTGACCAAAGTTAACAGAAGTCATTATTTAATGGTGTATTTGTCCAGAATTCACTGAGGTTAATAAGGTGACCAGAGGTAGCAGAATTTAATATCTTTGTAAGGTGACCAAAGGTTACTACTTTAAATATCTGTGAAAGGTGACAAGGATATAACCTAATTAGATTTATGCTTTGGATGTAAGGTCACCATAGGTAACCATGATCAATACATTTTTAAAGTGACAAGAGTTAACAAATGTCTAGATTTGTGCAAAATGGCCAGGTGTAACCAAAGTCAATAAGGTGGTCAGAGGTAACCAAACTCAATATATGTGTAAGGTGACCATATGTAACCAAAGTAATTATTAGGTCAAGAGCAATTACCAAATTTAATGTCTATGTATGATGTCTAAAGGCTACATTTGCAATATCTGTGAAAGATGACCAAGGGAACCAACACTTATATATGCATAGCACGAGTATGTGACCATAAATAACCAAAGTAACTATCTGCTGAATGTGACCAAAGTGTAAATATTTCAATACCTGTGAAAGGTAAATATTTGTCTAAGGACACATATATATGCATGTGTAAGTAGACCAGAGGTTTCCAAACTTAATGTCTTGGTAATGTGACCAGAGGTAACCCAAGACTATTTCTGCAGGTGTTTTGCGACCAGATTCAACGAAAGTTAAATTTGTGTTAGCCAAAGGGTTCCACAGTGTATCACATACATGTAGTTAACAATCTTATCATCACCACCAGTCATTTTAAGGCCTATTTGAATTTAAAGGTAACTATTTTGTATTGGTTACCTAAGCTACACACAAGACCCATAACATATCCGTTTCATCTTGACCTCTTCTAGAAGTTCTACAACTAATCTCATTTAATGTTATCTTCATATCAACTGCAGCTGCACAAACAATATTTTAACTATCAACTATATTTACAAAAAACATATCAAGTAAATACTTACCACCTTCATCTTCATTTTCTGTAGTCTTCTGCAAAAGAAGAGAAAAAAATATTATGACCTAATTATGAAATCAATTTACTTATCAGAAAAAATCTTACGACCATAAATTTGAAGTGATTAAAAATATTTCGATAAACTAGTAACACATTTTTTATTGTAACATGCTCTTGGTGCAAGTACACAATGGTACCATTTCAAATTCTTTTTTCAGATTTGGTTTTGGCTATGATGATCATGGAAAACAATGTTTATTCTGTTAATTGTTATAAGTGTATTGAATACAATATTATAGTAATCTATATCCATTTTCAAGTCATGATGCATATCAAACCTGTTCTCTCTTTTGACTCTCTGATTGACTTTGACTTTCTACAATGGAATAAAAAAAACGTGAAACAGTTGCTTGTAAAAGCTGATATTTGGTTCAAGAGTTATAAATTCAAATCAATCAGAAAATTGAATGGTTTCAATTAAGTCATAACTGCCATTATATAAAAATCTTTCACAAAAACATCAGTTCAAATTAAATACAAATCGATCACCAAATATTGGTACTACATAAAAAAAATACCAGGAGCAGAGGCATACACATTCTGTCGCCATCATTACATATTTCAACAACAAATCAAATGAATACATACCAACTTCAACACACTTATCTTCAGCTCTCTGCAAAATAAAAGATAAAGCATTATAACCTAATTATGAAATCAAATCATCTATCAGAAACAATCGTCTAAGGATATATATGAACAGATCAAAAGATTTTGGTAAATAATCAGACATTACTCATTATAAAAAAAAATTTGACACTGGTTGCCATATGCATTCCAATTTGTTTTATTGTCATATGGTGATTACAATGATTTCTATTCTTGCTGAACCGCTGATGTATATCAAACCTGCTCTCCTATATTTTCTGTCTGTGGCTTTCTATGATTATCTGAAAATGAATAGTAATAAACGCATTAAACAGTTTCGTGTTACTTTTGGAAGAATAATCAAGTCCTAGCAATTCAATACAACCATAACGAAAAATAAAAGTAGTTATTAATCAAGCTAAAGTAGCCATTTAATAAAAATCGGTTACTAAATATTGATATTACAAACAGAAATACTGCAGGCATAAGCATAACAATATTGTCGTCATTTATATATATCTAAAACATATGAAATGAATACATACCAGCTGCATTTTCTTTTTCGTCAGCTTTCTTCAATAAAAAAGATAAAATAATTATGAACTCATGATGTAATCAAATCATCTAGTATAAACTATTTTATAAGGATAATTCTGTTATAAAATTCTGACATTATTCATTGTAACATGTTTTGACACTTAATTCCACTTCAAATAATGTGTATGCTCAGACCTGCTTTGATTGCGATGATCATGGAAAATATAATTCATCGTAATGATTGTAATAGATATAATGAATTCTATATAACAATATTCTCTATTTTTGATGAACCAATGGAGTATATCATACCTGTGCTCCTCTCTTTTGTCTCTTTGAAGGTATTTCCTTTCCTACAAAAGAATTAGAAAAAAGATCATATAACAGTGTCTTGTTAATTCTGATATTTGTTACAAGTAATTTTAATTCAATGCAACCAGAAGAAATGTAACTGCATGTTTGTTTTATCATGACAAAGTAACAAGTTTCTAAACATATGTCACCAAATATCAAAAACGCAAATAGATATAAGCTATGGTATCATATCATTATTCTGTTATAATCCTTTATAGTATATATTGAACAACAAAACAAATGGATACATACCACCTTTTTCATTCTTTTTTTCAGCTTTCTGTAAAATAAAAGATAAACAATAATATGGAATTTTATGAAATTAGTTCGTTTTTCGTAAAATATCTGATGAGTATGAATATAACGTTACTAAGTACATTTGATATACCAGAAAAACATTGTTTTGTTGAATGTAAAATGCTCTGTTTGCCAGCTCAATTTCAATTTTGCTGTCAGTTTTATTTTTTTTACTATGACGAACCTTGATTATACTAATCTTTCAGTTAAGTGGTGAATGTAATGTTCTAATAATATATATTTGTATTCTTGCTGAATCTATGATTTATGTCAAACCTGTTCTCCTGTATTTCCCTTCTGGGACTGTCCTTGATTACCTTAAAATATAAAAATAGAAGCATTAAACAGTTTCGTGTTACTATTGGAAGAGTAAACATGTCATTGCATTTCAATACAACCATAAAGAAAAATAATAGTAGTTATTAATCAAGCAAAAGTAGCCATTTAATGAAAATCGGTCACTAAATGTTGATATTATAAAAAGAAATACTGCAGGAATAAGCATATATTTAACTATATTGTCGTCATTATTATATATCTCAAAACAAATCAAATGAATACATACCAGCTTCATTTTGTTCAGCCTTCTGCAATATAAAAGATATGATACAAAACTTTTAGGAATTTTTTGTCCTCAATGGTCTTCAACTTAGTACTTTATTTGTTCTTGAACATTGTTTTATTTGAGCGTCACTGATGAGTCTTTTGTAGACGAAACGCGCGTCTAGATAAATATAGAATTGCAGTCTTGGTATCTATGATGAGTTCATTTATGATTATAACCTAATCATAAAATAAAATTACCTAGCAGAAACTATCTTATAATGAAAATTCTGGAATAATATTGTAGCATGTTTTGACACTGAATGCCACATTAAATTATGTGTATGCTCAACTCTGCTTTTGTTTACGATAATCATTGAAAATATCGTTCATCGTGTTAATTGTAATAAAAGTATGGAATTCTATATACATGTAACAATAGTATCTGTTCGTGCTGAACCAATAATGTATACCAAACCTTTACTCCTCTCTTTTGCCTCTTTGATGGTCTTTCCAATTCTACAAAAGAATAAAGAAAAAACATTAACAGTTGCTCATGAATGCAGATATTTGGGAAATGTCCTTTTAATTCAATACAACCAGAAAATATTAAACTATATATACATGTTAATATACAATTAGGAAATGTGGTATGGTTCACAATGAGACAACTATCCACCAAAGTTAAAATTATAGGCATTCATAAGGCCTTCAACAAAGAGAAAAACTGATACCGGATTGTCGACTTTAAAAGGCCCGATATAAAAATATGAAACAATTCAATTTAGAGGATTAGCGGCCTTATATAGAACAAAACATTTCACGAAAAACAAGCATGACAAACATAAAACAACGAGAACCAGTTGAAATTAACTGCATGCTTCTGACTGGAGACAGGCTAAAAAGAATGTACAAGGTGACCAGCAGTTACAAAATGCAATGTCGTTGTTTAGTAAGCAGAGGTTATCGAGTACAATCGTTGTGTATGGTGACTAGAGGTACACGTGTAACCAAATTCAATATATGCGTACTAACTTATAATCCTGGTACCTTTGATAACTATTTACACCACTGGATCAATGCCACTTCTGGTGGACGTTTCGTCCCCGAGGGTATCACCAGCCCAGTAGTCGGCACTTCAGTATTGACATGAATATCAATTATATGGTCATTTTTATAAATGTCCTGTTACAAAACTTTGAATTTTTCGATAACTAAGGATTTTCTTATCCCAGGAATAGATTACCTTAGCCGTATTTGGCACAACTTTTTTGGAATTTTGGGTCTTCAATGCTCTTTAACTTTGTACTTGTTTGGCTTTATAACTATTTTGATCTGAGCGTCACTGATGAGTCTTATGAAGACGAAACGCGCGTCTAGTGTACTAAATTATAATCCTGGTACCTTTGATAACTAATTACGATATGAAAAGATACCAATTTCAATATCAGTATATGTTGACCACAGATAACCAAATTCAAAATCAGTACTGTAACAATTTTATCACATGTGAAAGGTTGTCAGGGATATCCAAAAGAGGTATCCTGAAAGATGACATGTGTACACTTATATTAACTGATCCAAGTAAAAACAAGAGTGAATATATGACCAAACCAGACATAATGAAAAAAAATATTTGTAGGTTAATGGTCAGGAGTAACAAATAGAAGTCAATACCTACTGTTACTATGGGTATTCGAAGTTCATTATATTGAAAGGTGACCACAGGAAGCCATGGTCTTCACAGTTCAGTGCCCTTGTGACGAGTGAAAAGAAAATATTCTATCTGATATAAGAAACATACAAATGTTTAACCTTAATTTGACCATGATCTGAAACATATATTCATTAATCTGTTTAAAGGTAATTACCTGTACTCCTTTGTTTGATATCAGTCAACATAATCCTACAAAAATTAATAAAACAAAAATCAATCTTAACTCGAGGTAAGGAGCTAGTCTATGATTTTCACATATGGGGGCATCTGGTTGGTATGCAAACGTTTGGGTATACTTTTTTTTATTCAAATGAACTCCATCCTACATCTGCCTCTGAGCTATCTTAAGATTATCAATTACATGCACATGTAAGAAAATATAGAAAGTATTGGTAAAATATTCATTTCTTAAACCTGTTTTTGTATCTGGTTTTTTCTTTTGATTCTGTCATACAACAATAAATGAAAATTAGCCAGGTTCATGCATTTAAGAGTAAATGGTTTATTGAACAAGAGGCTCTCAAGAACCTGAATCGCTCACCTGTAATCGTTTTGCTTAAATCTTTCATCATTGATTATTTTTGCTTTTTTGCTTATATATCAATGAGTGGCTTAAAATGCAATTTAAATGTTCATTGGATCGGTTATATTTTCTTCAAAAGCAAATAAATGCATTTTACCCATACGTTCCATTTTAGCCATAGTGTCTAATGTTTCCTGACGTGCAAGGAAATAAAATACAAATGTTATACCCGATTCATTTGAGAAGATTTTTACCGTTAAAAACACATGTGTAAAATTGTCCTTAAATGGGCAATAACTCTCTAAGGGGTCATTTGACAATTTTAGTCATATTAAACTTGTTTGTAGGTCTTACTTTGCTGAATATTTTTTGCAATTTACAGTTTATCTTTATCTTCAATAATATTTAAGATAATAACCAAAATCTGCAAAATTTCCATTAAACAACCAATTAGTTCTTGACCTTTTCAACATTTTTTATCCGATATCAGATTTGCTCTAAATGCTTTAGTTTCTGATATATAATCCAAACACTGCATTTGACCCCTATGTTCTATTTTTAGCCATGGTGGCCATGTTTGTCGATGGATCAAAACTTCGGATACAATTCATTAACTAGATACCCAAAGAAACATTTAGTTAAGGTTTGAAGGTATTTGGCCCAGTAGTTTCAGATGAGAAGATTTTTGAAATAGTTTACGACGACAGACGACGACAGACGAACCCAAATACGACAGACGACGCCGACGACGACGATGACGACAGACGACGACCACGGACGACAAGTGATGGCATAAGCTCACATGGGGCCCAATCGGACCCCGGTGAGCTAAAAATGAAGCATTTCAAGTTAGATTCACTTGCATAAATATGGGTTACCAGCACAAACCTAATATGTGAAGCAACTATATAATAGATATCTATGAAGAGCGTTTAACTATCTGACTAAAGTTAATGTAAATCACGTAAATAATCTGTTGTTTGTGTAGTAGTTGAACTTACAAATCATTCAAATCTTTCATTTACACGTGTTATAAGAAGCTAAATAGAGAGTACAATCATGTACTGTGTATTCGGAAATAACTGCGATGTTTTATCATTGCGAAAATGCGAAAAGGTTAAATTGTAATCGCAATAATTCAAAATCCAATTTTAGATTTATTATTATGAATGAAGCGAGTTTTTCTCAGTATCATAAAAAATAATCGCATTTCGGTCTAAAAATGACAAAATTGCAATAATAAATGCAGCAGCACACAATAATTTCTGAATTTATTACAATACTTTTGATTTATTCTATTTTTAGAACCACAATATTAACATGATTAATGAACAGAATAGCACTATTTTTAGAGGTTACCTGTACCAGGCTCCTTTCAGCGTAACAATTAACATTGTGAACAGTGGCGGATCCAGATGGGAGGGTCAGGGGTTTGAACCCCCCTTATTACGATCAATGCTTTTGAATGGGGACATATTGTTGGAATCCCCTTTATTCTGGGTTCGCCCCTAGTGCACATATGTCATATTATAACCTGATATATAACGACTAAAACCCGAATATCACGTTTCATAAAATTAAACTTGTGTATTACAATGCAGCATACAAAAAGTATGATTTAGCCATACAAGTTTACCTGACTTCGCTGTCTTCTCGTTTCGATCCCTCATTTTTTCTCTTTTTGTATGGCATGCTGAAGTTCAATAACTCATGAATGTTGGAATAACCCGTATGCTATTTATAGATCTCTAGTATGTATTCTCAAAGTCACCATCCGATGCAGATGCAGGATTTTTTAAAAGTTGGGAGCCGGATCCCACATACTTAATACAATAACTAAAGAATAGAATAGAATATTTTTTTATTTCCCAAATTACAGGGCCCATAAAGGGCATAAAATCAGATACAATTGATTTACATAATTGGTAACAACAACAATAATAGTCACTTGAAAATATATATTTAGTATATTAGCATTGGTCAGAATCAGAGCCAAAAAACACATATATATTGTGAATAAAAGAATAAAATTACATTATATGCATTCATTCTCAAATCATTTACTTGACTTAGTGTCAATATGCATACCTGATCTCTTTAATTCAAAACAGTCACAAATATAACAGACCAGTTTTTCCATAAGAGTTACATTTTCTTGAGTCAAGAGCCATAAAAATTTAGAAGATTTATTTAAATTTTTAAAATTATAACAATTGTCAGATATGTATTGAAAAAAGTCTCCCCTTTGAGTATCATAAAGAGGACATTCTAACAAAAAATGAAGCTCATCTTCAACTATACCAAGTGAGCAATTTGAACAAAGACGCTCAGATCTTTCTATATATTTTTACTAAATATGCAGCAATGGAGACAGGGCCCCTGACCACCTCCCCATCTCCTAAAACCTCTCCAGAACATCAATTGCAATATACATAATTTTTAAAGAAGATCTTCTGTTAAAAACTAGTGTTTCGGACCTATATATGTAATTAAAAGTACATTTTTGTTTGTTTTAAACAATTTTACAAATTCTAAAAAAAAATCATCGAAACCAGTGTTATACGTTGACCAAACATAAGGTACAAAAAAATAAAGGTAATACATCTGTTAGTTTTGCAGTAATTGATTATTTTTGAAGTCTCATTTATATATAAATAAGAAATAGCCATAAGTATTTTGGGTTATATATGAAATAATTCATAAATGAAATCGAATGCACAAACACATTTCAGTAAATTATTGCGAGTTCCTGTGATGTGCCCAACATATCCTATCATTTTTTTCCCTATGTCTGACTGTATTTTGTACAGACGATTCTCCAATTAGACAATGCTATATAAAACATAATTAAGAATTTTAAGATGTGCAAGGTATGAGTCATCATGCACATCACAATGACGTTGGTGTCCTGTATACCAGTATAGTATATTATATTGTTTGTATCTTTTTGTTGACGGTTTTCCATACGTTTCCGTTGTTCAGGTGCAAGAATGGTCGATCATCTAGATTAGGTTGCCCTTGGAAAAACGCGTACACAATATTTTCCCAAAAGGAGTAAAGCAATTTTTAAAAACATTTTTTTTTAAGTGTGGCAACATGTCAACATGTCATATTTGCTGTATTTGTATAAGTTTTTAATAATCAAATCTTAAATGTGTATTTATTTGCCCTTGTGAAAAACTAAATTTACCAATATCTGTCTAATAGACCACAATAAATAAAAATATAGCTTGACTATACATTAGACAGGTCTGTGCCGATGATTTGCCATTAATTCTGTATATAGTGTACGGAAGTCATCGGGGTCGTTTGACCTCCAAAAAATAAGAAACATAAAATTAATATGCTACTACGTTACACAACTCCATGAGTGTAAAACAGATGTCAATTTGGATTTCCCTACAGATGTACATGTATATGTATTAAACAAGTACCAAAAATGAAATAGCCAAAAATTAAATCGAATGCACAAACACATTTAAGTCAATTATTGCAAGTTCCTGTGATGTGCCCCACATATCCTATCATATTTTTTTTTCACTATGTCTGACGTTGCATTCACAAGGGACCAGTGTTATATATGGTGTACTACACCCGCCGACGTTACATTCACAAGGGACCAGTGTTATATATGGTGCACTACACCCGCCAACGTCACATTCACAAGGGACCAGTGTTATATATGGTGTACTACACCCTCCAACGTTTCCTTCACAAGGGACCAGTGTTATTTATGGTGTACTACAACCTCCAACGTTACTTTCACAAGGGACCAGTGTTATATATGGTGTACTACACCCGCCAACGTTACATTCACTAGGGACCAGTGTTATATATGGTGCACTACACCCGCCAACGTTACATTCACAAGGGACCAGTGTTATATATGGTGTGCTACACCCTACAACGTTACATTCACCAGAGACATGTGTTATATATGGTGTACTACACTCTCCAACGTTACATTCAACAAGGGACCAGTGTTATATATGGTGTACTACACCCTCCAACGTTACATTCACAAGGGACCAGTGTTATAAATGGTGTACTACACCCTCCAACGTTACCTTCACAAGGGACCAGTGTTATATATGGTGTATTACATCCTCCAACGTTACATTCACAAGGGATCAGTGTTATATATGGTGTACACCCGCCAACATTACATTCACAAGGGACCTGTATTATATATGGTGTACCAAACCCTTATGTTACATTCACCAGAGACATGTGTTATATAAGGTGCACTACACCCTACCATGTTACATTCACCAGAGACATGTGTTATATAAGGTGCACTACACCCTACCATGTTACATTCACAAGGGACCTGTGCTATATACGGTGCACTTTACCGTCCAATGCTACATTCACAAAGGACCTGTTATAAATGATGTACTACACATGCAACGTTACATTCACCAGTGACCTGTGTTATATATGGTGTACTACACAATCCAACATCACATTCACAAGAGACCAGTGTTTTATATGGTGTACTACACCTCCTATGTTACATTTACCAGAGACATGTGTTATATATGGTTTACTACATCCTCCAACGTTACATTCACAAGGGACCAGTGTTATATATGGTGTACTACACCCTCCAACGTTACATTCACAAGGGACCAGTGTTATATATGGTGTACTACACCCTCCAATGTTTCTTTCACAAGGGACCAGTGTTATATATGGTGTACTACACCCTCCAACGTTACATTCACAAGGAACCAGTGTTATATATGGTGTACTACACCCGCCAACGTTACTTTCACAAGAAGAGACCAGTGTTATATATGGTGTACTACACCCTCCAACGTTACATTCACAACGCACCAGTGTTATATATGGTGTACCAAACCCTCCAACGTTACATTCACAAGGGACCAGTGTTATATATAGTGCACTACACCCTCCAACGTTACATTCACAAGGGACCAGTGTTATATATGGTGTACTACACCCTCCAACGTTACATTCACAAGGGACCAGTGTTATATATGGTGTACTACACCCTCCAATGTTTCCTTCACAAGGGACCAGTGTTATATATGGTGTACTACACCCTCCAACGTTCCATTCACAAGGGACCAGTGTTATATATGATGTACTACACCCTCTAACGTTACATTCACAAGGGACCAGTGTTATATATGGTGTACTACACCCTCCAACGTTACATTCACAAGGGACCAGTGTTATATATGGTGTACTACACCTGCCAACGTTTCATTCACAAGGGACCAGTGTTATATATGGTGCACTACACCCGCCAACGTTACATTCACCAGAGACATGTGTTATATAAGGTGCACTACACCCTACCATGTTACATTCACAAGGGACCAACGTTACATTCACAAGAGACCAGTGTTATATATGGTGTATTTACACCCACCAACGTTACATTCACAAGGGACCAGTGTTATATATGGTGCACTACACCCTGCCAACGTTACATTCACCAGAGACATGTGTTACATAAGGTGCACTACACCCTACCATGTTACATTCACAAGGGACCAGTGTTATATATGGTGTACTACACCCGCCAACGTTACAGTCACAAGAGACCAGTGATATATATGGTGTACTACATCCTCCAACGTTACATTCAACAGAGACATGTGTTATATAAGGTGCACTACATCCTCCCATGTTACATTCACAAGGGACCAGTATTATATACGGTGCACTTTACCCTCCAATGCTACATTCACAAGGGACCTGTTATAAATGATGTACTATACCAACAATGCATTCACCAGTTCTAGAGACCTGTGTTATATATGGTACAGTATACTGCACCTTCCAACATCCCATTCACAAGGGAACTGTGTAATATATGGTGTACTACACTAGCAAACGTTACATTCAAAAGGGACCTGTATTATATATGGTGTAACGAACTCTGCTGTCAAATTTCAGAATTAAATTAATCTAGGTAAAAAAAGGTAGAATTTGCAGTTTGGACTACATTCAGATAGTACACTTTAATTCTTTTTATAACTTTTTTAAATCAACTTGGATTTTCATCAAACTATACAGATACCTTGGTATTATATTGATCTTACTGAATCCCAGGTTGTTATGAAGTTTGGTGTATTGCTGTCAAATTTAAGAATTAAATTAATCTAGGTGAAAAAAGCTAGAATTTGTAGTTCAGATTATATTGAGATAGTACACTTCAATTCTTATTATAACTTTTTTCAAATCAACTTGGATCTTCATCAAACTATACAGCTACCTTGGTAATATATTGATCTTACTGAATCACAGGTCATGTAGTTTGGTGTATTGCTGTCAAATTTAAGAATTCAATTAATCTAGGTCAAAAAAGCTAGGATTTCCAATTTCGGACAAAATTCAGATAGTACACTTTAGATTTTTTTATAACTTTTTCAAATCAACTTGGATTTTCATCAAACTATACAGCTACCTTGGTAATATATTGATCTTTATGAATACCAGGTTGTTATGAAGTTTGGTGTATTGCTGTCAAATTTAAGAATTGAATTAATCTAGGTGAACAAAAGGTAGAATTTGCAGTTTGGACTATATTGAGATAGTACACTTTAATTCTTATTATAACTTTATCAAATCAACTTGGATTTTCATCAAACTATGCAGTTATCTCAGTAATATATTGATCTCACTGAATCCCAGGTCATTATGTAGTTTGGTGTATTGCTTTCAAATTTCAGAATTAAATCAATCTA